ATATAGGTATTAGATATGTTAATACATAAGAATCACATGGTGAATTAATGGTTAGTTGGTCTATTTTCTGGATTCAATATTTTTGTTGCATTCACTGCTTTTTGGTTGTTTACATCACCTGTTATATCAAACTTTGGGTGTTATATTTGTAAATACATAAGTATGTTTGCTGTTTAAGCATGTTTAGAAATGGTTGCCTTTCAATATGCTGGAATTATATAATGTCAGTTGGGAGAAAAATATTTATGGGTGTTTATTGTGAGTTGATGGGGCTTTTGCTGAGTGGAATATTTGGAAATTTGGTAAGCATGTTAACAATGGGAATTTTTAAGGAGTTCGTGAGTTTGAACATCCAAGTTGCTATATATTTCATGCTTCAAATTGCTTGGGGCACACTGTTTAATTTCAGTTATCTGTGTATATTTCATGATCTCAATCTTATCTAGATTAGTACTGACTCTTCTTTTTTCCCACAATTCTCAACCTTTTAGCTGCTCTAGTAAGCAGTTATACTTGAGATGAAACATATTGGTTTGAAGGCAGCACATGACGAATTTTTAGATGTCCTTGTTTGTCGATGATGAATCTGTGTAGTTTTAAAATTATTTTCATGATGGTTTACAAATTGGAGAGTGCATGGGTAAACCCAAATAACATTAATGTAACTCATTGTGTCCTTCGTTTGTATGAAATTTGTTCTTTTGCACCACATTTGATGGTTCCCCACTCTAAAATCCAGTTTTGATAAAAACTATGGCTCCAAACAGCTTATCAAGCATCTCATTGGTAAGTTGGATTGAAAAATGATGGGGTATAGTTGCTATACAAAGTGTTATATGCCACACAAAACCTAAAATGTGTTATTTTTTCTAATACTAGTTGCATCAACAAGGAGAAGGGATTGATGCTTGGTCAAAGTACCTTTGAACCCAACATTTCCTGTGTTTGTCATCATTCTTGTTGCCAAGTTTTTTATTGATAGAAATGATTGAGGTGTTGTCATTTTAAGGCATATCGTATCAGTGGGATTTTTTTTTAAGATGTTTGGCTACTTTACCTGTGCATGAGAAGGTGTGCTCACTTTTTAAGGTGACATTTTTTATTTGATATGAAAGATTTGGGTGGCATAAATGTAAAAAGTATTGTTTAGGTGTGAGATATGTAAATATATAGGAAAGAAAGAACATTCTTTCATTTTCTATCAAACATTCATCTAACATTCTCAGAATGAAGTGGAATCAGAATTTGATATGGTTACAAATGACAGTATTTGATATTTTTAGTAACATTGCCTTTCTCAAAATTTTTTGAAATCACAGCATTTGATATTTCAATTTTAGTAACATTGCTGTTACAAATGGCAGTATTTGATATTTTTTGAAGCATTTGGACTGTTTGGAAACTGATTTGGAAGCATCATGGACGGTCACTTAAAAGCAATTTGTGAGTTCCTGAGGCTTTTTTAAATGGAAGCATCATGGACAATCACAAATTTTAAATGGAAGCATCTAAAATTTGTAAGCAATCTATATGTAGCTTGGATGACCCCATGCTATGTATGTAGCTTGGATGGCAACCGCTACTATGGTATGGTTATGTATGGAGCTTTTGTTGATATTGGTGTCTTCCGATGGCCCAAAAACGTGAGTTATGGGTGTATATGTGAGTTCATGGGGCTTTTTCCAATGGAAATGAACATGATAGTGATGCAATATCATGTTCATCACTTCTGCTCTTCTGTCGACCTGTCTCTGTTCAAAGCATACATATTGAATGCAAATCTTTGGGTTTTAATGTGTCGTGGCTCTGTTTATGGCCCATTTAGGGTTTGTTAGATTCAATGTTAGCTGAAAGTTTTTTTCCCTGTTTTCCCTCAGATGGATGGTTTCAATTTTGATTCTTTTGAAATCAAACTAATGCTTTTTTAAATATTTTTGTCCGCAATTTCTGTAAATAGATGAGGCTGATATGTGCAATGAGTTTCTGATTTCAGTGCCCGAAATTCCTTAGTGAAATGGTCAATCACGCCTTTGAAATTAGAATTCTCTGTTTCAGTGGCAAAAAGCTTGATTTTTGGATTAAGAAATGTATAATTTACAGGAACATGGACTGTCAATGAGTTATCTGTTTCAATGACAAAAAGATTCTCTTTGGTTTAAGAAATGTATAATTGACAGACATATTTAAGAGTTATTAATGTTAGTTTTGGATTGGGTATATTGCTTTATGTTGGTTAATAACGTCACCTCTTATATGGTGGATAACGGTGGAGCAGTTTGGACAACCACATAAATTTGTTATCGACAACCGATGCATCTACACTTGGGTAAGTTTACTTTTTATATTTCCTCAATTTTTGGACTGAATTTTATTTTTAATAACTGCAGAACGATGAGTTCCAGACATTTAGGAAAGTCCGAAAAAGTGATGTGTCGTTGCGGACTACCGTTCTTGCTATTCACGTCACACCAGACCCATAGTTTTGGGAGGCAGTTTTACAGGTGCCCGCGGTGGGGACAAGGACCGGAAGACTGCAAATTCTTCAGGTGGGCCGACAGTGCAACTCTTTCTACGATATCCCAATAGGACACAACTGCTAGAAGTTCGACAATACCACAATGGGAGACCACCGCATATGGTTCAAGTTCTTCCGTATCTACCGCACCCCAGTCAGACAGGTTTGCTCGGGATTTTGAGGTATCAGAACCGGGCAACGTTCGTTGTGATGTGATTTTACATTTTAAAGTCAATATTGTCACCAGTCAGACAGGTTTGCTCGGGATTTTGAGGTATCAGAACCGGGCAACGTTCGTTGTGATGTGATTTTACATTTTAAAGTCAATATTGTCACATTTTTCCTTGTCATTTTAACATGTAATTTTCTTCTTTTTTTTGGGTCTTATTATAATTCATATTAGTGTGTGAATATGTACTTTACTTTCGTATATGTCACTGTGCTTATTGGATGTAATCAAAATTTTTTTAAGTTATATAAATATTATTAAAATTTTTTGCATTTTCATTTCTTGAAATTTGAGAAAATAACATTCTGCTACACAGATCAATCATTCAACTAAAAAAATTTGCAAATAAGTAGTTTACAAAACACACTAACCAAACAACTAAACAACTTATTCAAAATAGGGGCAGGATGGTCAATTTTACAGAATCAGCTGTTTTCCAGACACACTAATCAAACAGCCGGACAGCTTATCCGGATCAGCTGGTCATCAGCGGATTATCAGGATAAGCTGCTTATCAGCAGAAGCTGGATAAGCTGCAGCTGCCCCAAACAGACCCTTAGTCATTTTAAATATATGTGATGCTTGATAGAAAATTCGTGGTGGAACAGTAATAGATTATTGTTTTAGTGTTGCATGAAGACTTAACACACTTAGATAGAAGAAAATAACCAATAGAGTCATCGAAAGTTTTCACGTGGAAAATCTAGAAAGGGAAAAAAATTACAGGGACTTGACCAGTTATAAAAATCTACTATAAATTGATGATTACAGAGATCTCTTGTCTCACAGGCAAGAAAGTATTATAAAGTCTTTTGAATTACAACGTCGACGTGAGGATGAACTTGTTGCAAGGAGCGGTCGACAACCGATAACAATTAGCGGAAGCTGATAGGTGGTGGTCAATGGCAGTAGGTAGTGGTCAGCGGTGGTCGACGACAGTGGGAGCGATGCAAGACTTCAGTTCTTTCTCAAAACTTTAAGCTCTTCCTCAAACCTGAAACTAACCTCCCTTCTCATGAGAGTGATGAGAATCTACTTTGATCGGATGGCTCAGAGAGCTTCTTTCGATCGACGGTTTTTTATGGACATTTGAGTATATTAATCAAGTTGAAAGTGAGCGATCATGGGCTCGTTAGATTCTTCTTATCAAGACATTTGATTTGAACGGATTCAACATCTGTTTGACCTTCCATACTTGTACATAAATCTTCCAAAAGTGGTGTGATGATTTCTTTGAAGCTCAATTTGGTTCAAATTAGATTAATATTAGTATCATTGAGTTCGTCTCGTCAAGCCAACAAGTTAATTTTAAGTTTGCTAAAATCATAGCTCTATAAAAGCTTGCCTCGAGATTATTCATATGATGCCTTAAGATTCATATCGAATTATGAAGAATTATTGGAATGGTATCAACATGCTTTCAATTAAAAAATTTTCTTCTGATTAATTGTTAAATAGTAATATAAAATGTACGAGGCTAAATGGCATTGTAATATATTTTACAAAGTTTCGGGTGCCTTCTTTGAAGTTTTTTGTGTTTAAATGGCATGTTTGTTATAAATTTGAATATTTAAAAATAATAAAAAATAAATTTCAAAACTCTCATGCTATTTACAACTTTTACTTAATTTCTTAAATAACTATATGTTAAGCAGATTATCCTTCACACTGTAACATGCCCAGGTTCCAATGCAAGGGAGCTCTGACATCTTCACATAAAATTTCAAATGCCACACAATTCTTATGCATTCATAATTACATTCATACACTCAAATCCTAAACATTAAATCAAACATACCAATATCACTATCTTTTTTAAAAATGAAATATACCAAGTTTTTATAAGTGTGAATATCAAACTTTAGTGTTAGATATGTAAATACATAAGAATTGTGTGGTATGTATGTAAATGCCCAAAATTTTCCTAATTAGCATTTTCTACCAAGATTACTTCTCATTCACTCAAATTAACTATCATATTTAAATTTATGGCAGCATGGACATAGATCTGTATCAAACTAACACCAAAGATCACTCTTCTGACACTATTATAAATAAGGATAAAGCTTAGTCCAAATAAAATTGTAGATCAAAAGATGTTGCCCAACCAAACAATTAAGAGAAATATATCAAAAGTTGGCTCAACGAATGAATAACAAAGAACAGTACAAACGCATCTAAAACCCTCTTAAACTTGCTTTCCTGCAGATGTAAGCACAAGACTATACCTGCAATGAAGGTGTGGTGAAAGCAGAATGAATTCATTTTGTTGACAGTGCATATTTATAATTTACTGAATATTTTCCATAGAAGATGCTACAGCCCTTTCAAACTTAATCTCAATATGTGATACATATTAATGGGAAAATTTACAAGATTTTTGGTTGGGGAAGCAATAAGAAGAAACATTAAAATTCATTGTAAGACATTTCTCACCATTGAATTCATGGAAAGCATTTCATTCTCTGTAAGAAAAAAAAAATGGGGAAAGCAAAGGGTTAGGTTTTCAACTTGGATTTCAAAAGTCAATTATTATTATTATTATTTTTCCATAACGAATAGATTTTGTATTTCACCAACCTGTCTCTCAATTTCAATTGCCGATTCAGATAGTCTTCTCTTCAGAACCGTTTTCTCCCATTCACAGTTCTCCTTCTTCTCATCTTTACATAAGAGACAAAACGAAGCATAAGTTTATTTGTTTTGAATCAAACACCAAATAAAATTAGTCACCACAATAAGAGGCAAGTTACTGGAAGCATCTTCCTCA